GTTATACAGTTACTTTAAACTCCGGTTTTAATTGCTGATATAGAAATGATAATAATTTTGCAAGAGGTTTCGTCGATCTTGCATAACAGTTCATAGTCATCCTGTTAACTAAAAGTCCCGAAAGAGATATTCATAAATCCGTGGTTCAGTGGTTTCCTTCCCTCTACCTCTAGACAAACAACAGTACACAAAACACAACATAGAAAACTAAAGACTGAGCAACACGAACCCCACCAAAAACTGGGGATGATCTCAGGTGCTCCGGAAGGGTAAGCAGATCCTGCTTTACATGTGGCACCCGTCGTGTTGTTCATGTATGTACAAACCCGGTGATAAGTATATTCGGTAGCTCACATTCGGGGAAATGGGGACGGGATTGTATTATCGACAATTGGAACTATACTTCGTCATATGTGAAACAGATATTCCATAACGGTTAACCAAGTTAGTCCGTAAAATTGACGAAGGGATGATTTCAACTTCACCACTTGGAACTCTTGGTTTAATAACTTCCTTGTGAGAAGCTATCTTCTGTCAAATAAATCATTATAGGAAATACAAGATAAATATCGTATCAACTGGGAGATATTTTATCCGTATGCAGTCGCTGCTGGACTGTTGCTACATAGAAATGGAAAGTTCACAATTGGAAAGCTGAAATCATCTCTTTTGTCATTAAGTAATTGTTATGTGTACGCTATATATGGAACGTAACTAACTAAAATATGTTAGAAAAGTCATCAATATGTTAACCAAACTTTTCAGTGCCATAGTGGAATAGATCCGAATTGATCCTTCTACCGTGTTCTCGAGATCATATAACTTGACTAGCAACGATATGCATTTCTACATAGTATGTCCTAATTATCTACAAAGTTTCATGAAATTCTGTTGTGTGGTTTCAGAGGAGTTGCGATGACAAGAACAGAACTGACGAACAGACTGACGGACTGACGGACGGATCAAAAACATTACACCCCACGGAACAAAGTTCCGTGAGATATAATAACATGAACATGGACAGAAACTCCGGAATTCGCAAACATCCAAGCCAAATGGTATTGCCATCATGTAAAACTGGTATCAAATTTCAAGAATAAAATCCATAGATCCGCTTGAATCAAGTTCTACATCAAATCTTGAAACCGAACTTCCGAAAATATTGATTTCTGCAGCCATTTGGCTGAAAAAATCAATGTGATCGAAATCACTAATGGAAAGATTTGGAGAGTAGTTTGAAAATTTTCCAATTATATTTAAGTATGGTCATGACAAAAAAAAGTTGATATAGCACTATTGCAGACTGTTGTATTTACTGCAGTTCTTTAGAAAGATAAGCACTTTTTTCAAAGAGCTTAACGTAAGTAAATGGTAGTAGGTCCATTAATTTATATAACAATTTAGTTTGAATAGTAATTGCATATGTTAATCAAATAATGATCCCTGTTTCATGATTTACATTTTCATCTTTTGAAATTGAGGAAATTACCAAATAAAGATTCTTCTAATAAAGTTTATCAATTATCCCTGTAGTTCATGGGATCAATACATGTAGATAGAGAGACTTGAAACTTAGACCTTTGTCTCTCAAAATTAATCTGAAAAGGTTGTTTTGGTGGCATTTTGCAACTTGAAACATACTAAGATATACCATGTTTCTCCTCTTAGGATTGGTTATTGATTTTGAAAACAATTATATGACACTGAAGGTGAATAGTTGTAGGGTGGCATACGTGAATTTTCATTTCCATAACTAACATGTATAAAGTTTTTATTCTATTGTCGAAAGATTGAAGCTTTTTCATTTTTGTGACTAATTCTTTTAAAATTTCAATTTTGGAAAAAAAAAAATACCGAACTCCAATGAAAATTCAAATCGGAAAGTCCCTTATCAAATGGCAAAATCAAAAGCTCAACCCCATCAAACGAATGGAATACAACTGTCATATATACAGGCATGTCCTTAGGTGTCTTGTTCCTCTTTTTTTTGAAATCCTCCAACATGTAGTAAATTATCTTGAGAATCTAGGCTTTACCCTACACATTTCTATTTTTGGAGAAACAGTGCCTACTGCTTACACAGCTTGGCCAAGATCAGGTGACTGTTGCAACTTGAATGATGTTATATAAATGTAAATCTTTACAGTTTCATCTAATATAAAAATGCCTTTGTTTGCATTGAAGAGATCAGAGCAAGAGTTTTCCAGAGGTATATTATATCATATATAAGTAGCTGAATCTATGAAAAAACACCAGAATAATGGTCCAAAAAATACCATTTTTGAAGCGTTATGCTGTTGCACCTGTTGTTTTTACATTTTAAAACACAGTTTATTTAGATTATTTGTAATGATGCATTCCAAAATAGATATACTACAATATAAAGAAAACATTTAGCTTAAGAGTATTTTTTACAGGAAAAAAATATGATAACAATTGTTGAAATTATGCATAAATTTGTGCTACTTGTACCTTTGTTATAAAATTTAGGATATATCAATATTGGAATTTATGACATCATTTCTAGCAAAAAGAGCAAATATATTGTATTAAAAATGGTTATTTTACATAAGAAATAATACACTATGTCAAAAATATAGTGGATTTGTGGTATGAAAGGTGCACTTTTTTGTAATGTTTTTCCAAACTGGTCCATTTTCTGTATAGTCTGTAGCCCTGTATTTCAGTATAGTCTGTGGTAAACAAAAGAATGCAGAATTGATCATGCTCTTGTTTTATATTTTCAGTGTTACCAGTAAAGTAAACAGTAGTAATGAATAGCTTCTGCAGTAACACCAAAAGAAGTTTAACATGAAAGATTGGTGTCTGTAGCCCCAATATAATAACTTCCAAATGAATCATATAAATTATTGATAGAATGATTATAACACAACTAAATGTTTGTTTGAACAAATGCAATGTTTTTACAGACCTTTGTAATTGAATATAAAATGTTTTAAGTTGAACATTTTCAAATATAGGCTTGTTTTTCTGTACCGTTATGTTTGTAGTTACTTTATATTTGTAGTTACTTTATATTTGTAGTTACTTTATATTTGTAGTTACTTTATATTTGTAATTATATACAATAACATTTTTCTTTTTGTGATACATTATATCAGTCCATTTAGAATTATTAGCATTGGAACATAAATTATGGAATAATTTTCCTTACAAATCTTAATAACAAAAGGGCTACAGATTATACATAAAACAAAAGGGCTACAGACAATACATAAAAAGTTAGCAATTTACAGACCTTCACATTTGCCTTCTATTTCAGTGAGGACCTGAAATAATGAAATCTGTAAGTAAAACAATTCTAAATGGACTGATATAATGTATCACAAAAAGAAAAATGTTATTGTATATATTTACAAGTATAAAGTAACTAAAAACATAACAGTACAGATAAACAAGCCTATATTTGAAAATGTTCAATTTAAAACATTTTTATTAATTAATAATACTTTTTATGTTTTATTTTGTTGAATTTCTTGAGAAATTGTATAAAAATGATAGTATATGCAAATGTAATAGTTTATTGAACACAAACTGACTCAAGGATTATGACTTTTACAATCATGTAGTGGTACAAGCTATGGTTTTTCCCTGATCTCTCTTAAAAAGAAACATGTCAATATGTATAGTCCGTAGCCAAGATTTTTTGCCCAAAACAAATCTGTCCCAATTTTCCTCCTAATGCCACCAAATTTTGATTTCTTTTATTCTCATATGTATTATCTTTGGAAAAATGCAAATACTTTAAGATATTTGCACTTCAAATACTCAAATATTTTAAGTAAAATATTCTCACAGTTTAACAAATTTACCCATGGCCTTTGGAGACTGAATCATTGTAATGGAAATTAGTTTTTATGCATTATTTGTTGTGTTTTTTTTGTTCCTACAATATTGTTTGAAGAATTTGTATTTGAGTTATGCATTCCTTGTTCATTAATATATGTTAAATTTATATGTTATGCTTGTGTATGTATAGTCTGTAGCCCACTGTGGAAATCTCTGGAAGCTATTATTTTAAGAGTATAAACTTTTTAACCGCTTGACAGAAATGGACAAAATTTTCAGATTATCTGCACAAAGGATGTAATGTAACACAGGACATACTTGTAATTTAATTTATTGAACTTTATTTTTTCATCAATCTGCAACAAAGATGGACACCTGATCTTGGCCAAGCCGTACAGTTTCTTGGTTAGATAGGGTTCTATCAAAATCAGAATGCTGGTTTCCAGGAATAGATATATGTAAAATTCGTAAGGATTCCGCGGAACCCAGTGTCTCGCCTACTTTTGCTGTTGTCTATGTTTTCAGTGTGATAGGGGAATGCACATAATAGATTTACAGTTAAACTATTCCCCTAAGTCCATTTATAAGTAAAATACAGAAAAACAGAAATAAATATTTTACAAAATTTTCTTCTGGATACTATCTTTAGATCATAAACAAACTTCTGTCCAAGTTTAGTAAAAATCCAGGATAGTTTAAGAAAGTTATTAAAATTTTAAAAACTTTAACCACAGAGTGAATGTAATAGTAACTGGTAGAAAAACTAAGTCCATTTATAAGTAATATATGGAAACAGGATTTTCTTTTTACAAAATCTACTTCTGGATACTATCTTATGATCATAAACAAGATTCTGTCCAAGTTTGTTAAAAATCCAGGATAGTTTAAGAAAGTTATTAAAACTTAAAAAACTTTAACCACAGAGTGAATATTTGTGAACGCCAAAGGCCGACGACAGAATGTAGGATTGCTATGTCTCGCTTTTGCGACAAAAGTCGCAGGCTAGACAATAAATGAAAAAGCAGGAATACTAGTCTCTCTAATGTGAAGGGATTAAAAATTAAAAGAATGTTTAAATGCACATCTACATTAACATATTTGGTAAAAAAAAACAGTATGCCGGATATTACTTGAATTAGACAAGATTAATAAAATGCAATCTTTTAAATATAAAGAACAATATGACAAGATTTGTGATTTATTTGTTTATTTGTGTACATCCACCCAGAGGACAAAGAAACAATCATATATCTACATATCACAGAATTATAAACAAAAATCACTAGCAGTCAAACATAATTATCATGTATAACCCACCATAACCTCATGCCTTTATATCTCTTCATAAAGACATAATTGTCAATCGTTGGTAATTCAAAGGCAAGTCATCTAATGTTTTAAAATCATTCAAAAGAACTATCTGAGACATTTTTTTCAATAAAACAGAGAAAATTATCTTATCCAAATTCAGATTTACACAATATCTTCCTTTGCAAATAAGTGTAATGTGTATCTAACCAACAGCCATTATCAAATATATAATCCAATAGTATTACTTTATTTTTATCTTTAAAATTATCTTGCAAAATACAGTATCAATGAGACCCTTGGGTAATTTATGCCAAAATATTATTTTCAATATCTGACACATAAATATGGGCTGTCAAGAATGGTTTCAAAATGTAAGGGACTTTGCTTTATTGATACTTTAAAGCAATTTAAGAATATTAGCCAAAAAAAATGCATACACAAGTCTAACATTAACAGTGTCAAACCTGACCATAAATAGGTCTTTTGTGAGACCAAATGAAATGTTAAGTTACACATGATAAAAAAGATCAATTTGATCCACTTCCACTTTGGTAGGATTCAACAATGTGGAATACATAGTACACTTCTATTTCTCATAATGAACCTCAAATTCAAAAAACAATATAAAATCATAAATAAAAACTGTAATATAAACTGGAACTTGATATATGTGAAATAATGGAAAAATGACATGCAAAACTACCCCTGTCATTTGTGTAGTGGAAAGCATCACTTAAAAATACATTTAATAGAATGGTAACACCTACACTTGTCAGTTTTAATTTACTTTCCCCTCAAAATAAAATTGTTTTGCTATCTATATAATTTTCCCATATCCATGTACTGTGGATTCAAAATTAATTGTGGGATACTATTTTCTGTGGAGTTTACAGGTAAAAGTGATCCACAAATTCTGTGGAGTTTACAGGTAAAAGTGATCCACAAATTCAAATGTACAACAAAATACAACTTCCCTATAAACTAGAATTTGTCATAGCTACTAAATTAAATATCCATGGAAATACAATTACTCCTCAAATCACAAAAATTGGTACCCACAAAAATGAATTCACAGTATTAAAAAATATCAAATGAAGGATAATTTACATCCATTTTTACATTCAAAATCTTAACTAGCAAAGAAACATTATATTTTTTCCATCAAGATGAGTGAATTTCATTTTTATTTCAAGAAAAAGTGGACACAAATTATGCCATGTTAACTGTTGAAAATCCATGTAAATAACATTAGCCAATAACTGGCCTTTGCTTCTTACCATTAGGTAAAATTAGGGTCAGTAAACCAACAACAAAATGATCTCAATAGTATTTTCCTTGAGTAAATCAACAACAAGATGAGCTCAAAGGTGTTTCCCAAGTGTATGATATATTAAATAGAGTTTGAAAAAACAAAAACAAAAAAATTATTGTGTATCTAAATTTATTCAATCTTTGCTGTTTATTTTCATGATTCATGGGTGAACTACACAAAATAACTAATAAATAATAAAAAACAGATGAATAATAAATAAAATGGAAAACAAAAACTGTGAATATGACGGAACCATCTAAAACAAGACAACATTTTATTGCTTCGAAGAAAAGTTATTTTCTCAGCATTTTTTATGGATTTTTAATGAACACATGTAAAAAGTTTCTCTGCAATATCAACAGGTCATCATGAAATAAACTCATCATAGATACCAGGCTTATTTCTTTTTTAAGTCAGACACACATTTCGTATCAAAAGACTCATAAGTGATGCTCGAATAAAAAAAGTTATAAAGGCTAAAATACAGTACGAAGTTGAAGAGCATTTAGGACCCAAAATTCTGAAAGGTTTTGCCGAAAAGCATCCACACTTAATTGTATCAATTTTGTCAAAATTTTCATCATTTTTCATGTTAATGAGTCAGTAGTCACAGATAGATATAAGCACTTTTTTTTTTATAAAATAACAATTAGAAAGAATTCCTACAATAATAAGATTGTTTGTGGTCTCGTTCTAATTAATCATTTGTATATTTTCATAGAAGTCAGCCATATTGAAGGAAACCATGGTATAGACCAAAAAGAAACGGACACTTTCTATCACATACTGTTAGTTTAATGGCACACTGTTATTTTTACGTCTTAACAGGGGTAAGAGCTTAAATGATACATGATGGTAAATGTCTACCAGATACCATAGTTCTTACTCAAATATTACAATGGTTAATGACAATCGTAAAATACCAAAAGCATCTTATCATATCAAATAGCTATTTACAATCGTTTCTTTTGAAAAGGGAAGATCAATTGAATACATACTGTAGCTATCTTTTCTTGCATGGAAATACAACATAAATTTTGAAGCAGAATGTGTCTAAGCATTCATTTGACCTAGCTGATCAATGTCATAAAAACGTTTTCAAAAATGGAAATGGTAAATAAAACAACACAGTGAAAATGGAATGTGGTACAATCATCATGAGGAATACAAGACATGTCACGCCATCATGAGGAATACAAGACATGTTGTGCCATCATGAGAAATACAAGACATGTCATGACATCATGAAAAATACAAAGACATGTCACACCTTCATGAGAAATACAGACATGTCATGCCATCATGAGGAATACAAGACATGTCACACCATTATTAGAAATACAAAGACATGTCACTTTGGATATCACATTTATAATACTAACTGTGGTAAGATAAAATACATCTATTGCTGAAAAAAATTAAGATTTATTTGGTCTTTGCTGATATCAATGTTATATACATGAAGTTATTGTTCTCTATATTTTTTTTCAAATCCATATTTCAAGAATGGTCTAAAGTCAGCACTTCTTTTTGGTAATGGTAAAATAGCTGTTTAAGTATTAGAACTGAAACAACAAAATGATTAGGCACTGAAGAAAGTTTTGAACAAAATGAAATAAAAAGATAATTGTTGTTAATTATAAATGGTTCTTAAAATGTCTGTATATGAAACACTGAAATCAACACTAGGTACACAAACTTAAGATAATGTCATTCATAAAGCCCTGCTGTGTGGAAATGCCACCATACTCATAGAGTCAAATGTACATAATTTTATGTTAATATTTGTAGATAATGTTAACATTCATATAACTAATTAAGTTTTACAGAAAATATTTCTATAGCAACCAATTAACTTGGGTTTGTCTAGTCTAGCTAACTAGATTGCCAATGGAAAAAAAACAAGACATAAACACCAAAAAACTATCTTTAAATCATAAATCAATGACATGTTTTGGCTATAGACATTCATAAGCTTTATTTGTCTTTGCTAAAATACTGAATTTTCAAAAAAAATAATTGAAACCTTAAATTCTTTTTTTTTTTTAATTGCCAATCACCTAATCTTAATTTTTTGGTTCTTCCATTAAAACATACAAGGTACTTAAGAAAGACATTTGTATATGGATAAACCCTTCAAACAGAGCAATTGTTTTACTTCACTAACATAGTTTAAAAATTGATCTGGGGAAAGGGATGTATGTGTCTTAACATAAGTGCCATGCATTTCTTAACAGATCGATCATTCAGATTGTTCCATTATCTTTTAAAAAATTCCCGCCAAATACAAATGTATGAGTATTTGGTTTACACTGACTTGTAGAAACACAAGCCTCCAAAATTCTATTTTTTATAAAATCATGATAGCACAATGAAACCAAAGCATAAAACAAGGATGATTTATTTATTTAATGGATGAGTATTTTGTTAACATGAACCAATGAAATCAGTTGCTTTTGATATTTTAAAATACAATTTCAATATTTTTTTCTTGGAACAGCCCAATAAGGTTCTTCTTAGCAATTCGACTACATAAAATTTGATTTGATTATTTTTAAATTTAAAAATCATTTTGACTTCTCTCTTTTCACATTGTAATACAATTCCATTTTGCAACAACAACAAAATTTCAGCTTCCGAAAATATTAACTAATTTGTATGTAACTGTAAGTAAATATGGATTTTAAAAGCATTATATAAAACCAGCTTCTCTATCAGTTATATAAATGTACATAATAAAAATGAATAGTAAATGATATTAAAAACCTCTGAGAAATAATCAAATGGAATTCTTCAGACAATTGACAGCAGTTAATATATCATTAGCAAACATTAAAGTGTTATCATTTCCTTATGCCCATTTAAAACACAAATAACACTTTCAAATTCTCCCTTAATTTTTCCCTGAGGCAAGTCAACTGCAGCAATACATTCGGAGTAAGTGCACATTCGATTCTTGCCTACATTCTTCAAAATCTTGTTTGATTTAAATAAAAAAAATATACAGAAAGGTATTAAAAATTTACTTTTTATGTAGTTTCACCGAATGCTATTAATCTAATTTCTAGCGTAAAGATAATACATTGATAAATGTACAGATTTATATGGTATTAAATATAGTTTGAATTTTCGTAGGCAAATTAAATAGTTTATTGTTAATGTAGACAGTATCTTAATTTTGTAATACTGTAAATATTTATGAATAGAAAAATAAATTTCAACTTATACACCAACTATTGAAAATATTATCCTATCTACCAATGTTGAGAATTATACCTTTAAATAAATTTAAAAAATCTATGAAACTATAAACTCCCATTTTGATAACAAGTATTTCCGTTTTTTCCCCTCTGGTATGTATTTAACCCCGGATTAATTCCTTTTGAAGAATTTTCCCTCTGAAAAATAATTCAAAAACTAACACAAAAGCTAACAAATCTGCTCTTTTTTCCAACACTATTAAAAGCATCAATGTAAAATTCAGACCAGCTGTCTTTATGAAGTAAATGGCACACTTATAAGATTTGCTGTATATGCTTTATGATGTCTTTGGGAACGGTTGTTTGCCTCTTTGTGTCAATCCTTCAAATCGTTTGTACGTATAGTTTATAAACACCCAGTCTTTATATTTGCTATCTTTGTCACTCTCTATTAATGTCTGCTGCTGATTATTCTGGTTTGTAGCTATAAATAGAACAAAGACAACATTATGATTCTAGCTATAAATAGAACAACCACAACATGTGACTATAAATAGAACAATGAAAACATTTTGATGACGTAAAACAATGAAAATATTATGACTGCTTTTAGCTATGAATAAAACAGCTACATCATCATAATGTTCGTAGCTATAAACAAAACAACAATAAAATTACAATAGTGTGCAACACAATCATGATAAAGTTTTCAGATTACTATTTCAAATTTTTTTCCCAAATATATAAATTCATGCATCATTGATAATGTGACCTGGTCAAACCAAAGACTTTATAAATAGTATTTGCTGCTTCTCTACCAAACAGGCAGCATTTACAAGAATACACCAAGACTGGTTGGCTCAAACTAAAAAAAGTATGAGTAGTGTGAAACGTCTTCCTGTGAGCTAGCACTTTAAAAATCTGATTCAGCATAATGGTCTAGTAAAAAGGAGGGTTTATTCATATCTCATTAACATGTTATCGCCCTGAATATTCATGTAATATATACTGCTGGACATTAAGCAGCTATCAATCAATCTATTTATTACAATGTTAGTAGTGAAATATCCAAATATTCAGTGAAACAAGTATTGTCAACTTACTCTGAGACATCTGCAACATCTCGATTGTCAATGACATCACAGTAACATAATATCAAAACATAGGTAAATGATAAAAAAAAAAGGTGTCCTGTTAGTATGAACTATATTTAGTTAAATTCTCATCAGAATAAATGAAATAACCAGAAAGATTACCGTAGATACTCGCCTAATAGTCGATCCTACTATAAGTCGGGGGCCCTTTTCAGCTCCAAATTCTAAGGGATTTAGTCTTGACCCTCGTATAAGTCGGACAAAATTTGGGCATTTTTTTTTCAGCTGACAGTAACTGAACGCCGGTAAAACCAATGCAAATCCAGGAATAATATTCATTTCTGCATTAATGTTTGTTTGGTTTGAATTTAGTTGATGCTCATCATGATAATTTATATTGCTGTTAATAATAAAGATGTATTCATTTCTCTTGTTTTGTTCACTGTTCAAATGTTAGATTAGCCATGTGTTGTTTACGTAATGCATCAATGATTTTGTAGGGTATGACTAACAACCTATTGTTTGAGAAAAGCGAATATAAACCAATATGAACCTGAAAAATTTAAAGTCAATCAACACTTGATGAAAATATTTTTCACAGCATACATAACTCGGTGTTAAATGAGCATGTACACTTCATAATTCTTATTATATTGTGATGATTAAAGGATTAAAAAAATTAAGTGAAGCTAATCAATATATTAAAATAACTAACTCCAACTCATTAGTGTCATCTGTTTACCTATCACTGATAGTTTTCACACCTTTAGTAAATACAACTCTTTGTCTCTTAATTGGGGTTAGCAATGGATTATATTGGCTTGTCAATCAATTTTGTAATTTGTTTACTGAGACACTTTAATGAATAATATTTTGATTTTGGGAATGAATCTTAAAATTATTTTTTGATTATTATATGATTTATAAGCATTGAATTGATATCATGATATCACAATAATGACACAATAACTCCGCTGAAAACATCCTTTCACATATTTGGTACATTATTATCTCCTTTTCATTTTTGGTTCTTGGCTCTTCTTTTGGGTTTATAGGAAAACCATGTGACCATGAAAATCAATACACAAACCGGAAACAGTAGAATTTCAACACGAATTTGCAGAAAATGTTTACCAAAGAACAAATAAAACACAAAGACAGTATTGTAGTTATTTATTTTCAACAAAAACTTTTTATTTATTGATTTATGTAGGTTTGGCAATCAAAAACGTAGTTTTGACCAGGAAATTCACTCCTGACCACTTTTCTCAAGCTTGGATTTTTCCTCTGGTCGCTAGATCTCGTCTATTAGTCGGTCCCCCTCTCTGGATTATGAATTTTACTCCCAATTTTCCGACTAATAAGCGAGTAGGAACGGTACTCTTCAAATTTAATTATGGAAACATACAACTGATGGCCAAACATTGATAATTCCTTTTTCTGCAATGTATTATGTGTTCTATAAAAATCAAAATATTCAACTTTCTATTATATAATTATTGAATAGTTTACTTACGCCACTTGAGATCAATTTCTGGAAAATCGTCGAAGTTTGATGTATCGTCTATACTTTTAACATCTACTGGAATGGCTGCTGGTCTCTCCCTGTATAATATATACAAATAAATTCACAAATCATATGGAGAGACTTCATTGTGAAATGGAATAAACGAAAACAAATGTTATGATGATGAACAACTCTTTAACAATAAAACTCTGTTGCAGATAAAAACATTCTCAACTTCCCATTTAATTTCAACGTTAACTGTAACTTTTCAAGATATATCATGCTTTTAGGGTTTTTTTTCAATAACATTTAAAAAAGTAGATTATTTTATCTTAACATACCATTGTATTATTTTTTGTTTCTTTTTACTACTGCAGCTTCAGTCTGTTAAAACTTTGTTAGTTTTTCTTAGCTTTGACAAAAAATAGTTTCACTGATTTCATCATAAGAAAACAAAATACTTAGCAGTTAGTAATAACCCCAAACTGTTTACATTGTTTTCCTTTATAGTCGGTTAAAATGGGGTAAAAACTAAAAGCTAATCTGTTTTCCTTATCAATCATTATTCAACCCATTTGGAAGGTGAGGGAATATAAAAAAAAGTGTTGTCAAATTGATTGTGTGTGAGTCCTTCAAATGTAGGAGCTCAGAAAAATTGTAATTGTTAATTTTAAAATACACTTTACATTATTTCTTTTTAAACAAGTGAAGTCAATAAAACAATACACACCTGATATGTTCCCAATCAACTCCTTTAAAAAATACATGTGATTTAATTTCATCTATACTATTAGCACCTATTCTATGTTCTGGATCACAGCAATATCTGAAAACAATTTTGTACATTATAAAGACTTTTCATGAATACCCAAGATAATTTATATATCAATATAAATGTACAATGAGGAGTTACTACAGACATCAATATATATGTACAATGAGGAGTTACTACAGACATCAATATATATGTACAACGAGGAGTTACTACAGACATCAATATATATGTACAATGAGGAGTTACTACAGACATCAATATATATGTACAATGAGGGGTTACTACAGAGGAAATAAATTAAATAATAAGTGTTACAATGGTCATCATAAATAAAGAGTAAGTTTAACTCAAGCAAATGATGTATGATATATGAAATCTTAATACTTTAAACTGATTTTTAAGAGAATTGCTCATATCTTGGTTGCTGTCTCACCGACAAATACCAAACATATCCTTCTATGTGTATGTATTGCAAAGCTTGAGATATTGAATGTGTGGATTCTAATACAAAAAAATAACTTGCAGATATATATCAACCCTCATACAATATCGGTATACAATAATAGGTATTCTCACATCCACATAAAATATCAAAGATACTTGACAGGAATGTGAGAAATAGCCTTTTATTCCAAGTATAAAACAGTAAAATGAAAAAATTACACTCCTAAACTTTCATTTAATTTCTAATTTCACAGAAGAAATAAGTGCAGAATAAATTTGCTATTCTGTCATCTAGTTGCAATTGTGATTAAAAATTAATTGCTGGGGTTTACTTTAGTTACAACTGTGATGTCAAACTAGTCACTTTATTTAATTAAACATTTATTCATGGAACATAGAAAAGTCCTCATGTGACCATGTCTACAGAGCAAGGGTCGTGAATTGGTCATTTTTGCCAGACATGACCTAAACTGAAAGGTCATTGACCGAAATGGTAGATTGGGATTTAGGCAAGATTTAATTTTTTTACAGAAATAATTTGGTCATTTCATTGCGATAGGGTTTCTTAATTGCCATGTTTTCAATAAATTTTGTTTGAAATTTGATTGTGATATTATTCAAGTGATATGATAAAGTATTGCCAAATTTGAACTAAAATAGGTCATTCTCATGAACATTCTAGCTAAATTAACAAAGAGCACAGTGTCCTCCAATTTAAGGACCCCACTTATACCTTCTCTTACGTATCCTTGAAAATTACCTTTGAATGAGTTCCCTAGCTTCATTAGATATAGGCATTTCTGGAGGGAAAATTAATGTTTCTCTCCAGTTCATCACCTTCCTGTATGTTTCTTGTGGATTTTCTGAACAAAATGGTGGGTAACCTACAAGAAATATGTTTAGTTAAAAAGTATTACAGTTGAACCTCGTTAAGTCAAAGGGACCGAACAAAAGTATTCGACTTATCCAAGGTTCGACTCATCAGAGGTTGTCATAAATTTGGAATGCATGAAATACGGTATAAAATTGGTGTAAACTAGATAGTTTGAACAGTTTTTCTTTCTACGATATGACAATAGATGATTGTGTATTCAATCTCCATATGTTTGGTCCATCATAAGAATTAAATACACAAGTACAGGTACAAAACATTCACAAATAAAATCAATACACAAATATTTACAAAGGTCAGTCACTATAAATTATGGAATCAATCGCGGAAGGAAACAAGTTCTGAAACATCTGTGATGAGGGTGTCTGCTTTGCAAACAATTATTGCAAATTTATCATAATTGTCCTAATCATTTTATTTATTGTAATTAATGAATTTTAATTCTGATTCATTTAATCTCGGCTTAAATCTTTTAAATTCGTTTCTTTTTTATATCGGGTGAAATATGTTCAACACACTAAATTTCCGCTTGGACGATCAACAAAAGTGTTAATTACCGGTCACTATAAACATGTCATTTTAACTGTTAAACTAACAAGTATGTTTATACAGCTTTAATCTCTTATAAAAAATGATAGGTTACATAACAAAAACATCAGATTTGAATTTTTATCTTTAAGTCTGCATCTTTCGAAATCTTTTACTTTCAAAATTCGAGACATCTGGTTCAATTTACATTAATTTTACATAGACTTTACTCGACTTAACCTAGAATTCAAAACAACCGAGTTCAACTCATCAGAGGTAAATATGCATTGATCAAACAGGAATTTTACCGGGACCAAGAAATTACTTCCACTCATCCGAATTTTCGACACAACTGAGTTCAACACAACGAGGTTCGACTGTATTGTTAAGTTATATTTTCTGTATTTCTTTGTGTTGTTGGATTGATTGATTGTTGGTTGCTTAATGTCCAGTGACAAATATTTCATGCATGTTCAGGATGAGAACAAATAAACAATAAATACAATAGGTAGGTCCTGTAATAGAGGCTGTCCGGGATGAAGGTTGTGGAAATTTGGAACACTTTTGGCCACCGGAAAATGAGGGTATATTGGATAGGGACAGAATTTTTGCCTTGCAACAGGCACCTACCCATCAAAGAGTTGTTGCAAGGGTTCTTAATGTGCAAATAGGGTGGCACTCTATCTACACAAGGCATTGGATTTAACGTTCTCATTCTGACCGGACATGGCTGCTTACTTGTACATCATGAACAACCAAACAGACGCCCCACTTTGGCAAGGGTTTTACTGCCAGTTGGAAGAAGACCAAGATGACCACATTTCTATATGCCAGTTACCCTTGGGGGGGGGGGGGGGGGGGGGGGGGGGTGTTGTTGGATTGAAGTCTAATTGATATATTTCTCACATCTTATCTAATGCATGAAACTAAATGTAATCTTCCAATATACTTAAAATAAACTGCTTCGCTGAGCGCAGCTAGATACGCCCGCAGAGGTCCAACCCTGAACAGTTGGGGCAAAAATGGACACAATATTCAAGCTTGATTCAGGTCTGAATTTGGATTGTAATTAAATATTTGACATACGGTATTATAGGTTTCTGAATAAATGTAGTCAAAGAACTTGAAATTGGTTATATGAATTGAATTTATATTCAATTAAAGATTTCTTGCTGTTGTGCAATACTTAGTATATCTGTTGTCAGCCTATAAACAAATAAAGTTCAATAAATTTTCAATGTCATATTAGAAATTTATGAAAATAAAAAGGGAGCTTACATCAATAGATATAAACAATTCACCAAAGTTTCATGAGAATTGGTGACAGCATTTTTGAGTTATTGTCCGAAAACTGGAAAATCACCCCTTTTTTTAATGAATAAAACCCCATAACTTAGAAATGTAAAATGTAAAATTTATAAAATTTTAAAGAGAGCTTACATCAATACATACAAACAATTCAACAAAGTTTCATAAGAATTGCTGAAAGCTTTTTAGAGTTTTTGTCCGAAAACTGGAAAAAATCCCCCCTTTTTTTATGAATAAAACCCTGTAACTCGGAAACGTAAAATCTAAAATTTATAAAAATCGAAAGGGAGCTCATGTCAATAGATATAAACAATTCACCAAAGTTTCTTGCAAGTTGGTGAAAGCATTCTTGACTTATTGTCCGAAAACTGGAAAATCACCCTTTTTTTTATGAATAAAATCCCATAACTCGGAAACTTATAATCTAAATTTTATAAAAAACGAAAGGGAGCTCACGTCAATAGATATAAACAATTCACCAAAGTTTTATACAAATTGGTGAAAGCATTTTTGAGTTAATGTCCAACATGTTGACGACGGACAGACGGACGGACAGACGGACGGACAGACGGACGGACGGACACAGGTAAACCATAATACGTCCCGTAAACGGGCGTATAAAAAGTTACAGGACTTTTTTTTTTTCAATTGGTATCAAATTCTAAAATTTGTATGAATGGTTAAAAATCAAGCTTTTCTTTCTTCTTCAATATGTTTCTTTCTTACATAATACAATTGTTGTAAGTCTTTATATGAAACAAGTGACAGAAAAATAAAAAATTTAACACAGAATCATTTACTGACCGTATAATGTCCTTACCTATCATCATTTCATACATAATAACACCAAGTGACCACCAATCACAGCTTGTATTATAACCGGTTTGCATAAATACTTCTGGGGCTATATAATCCGGAGTTCCAACTGTGGAGTAGGCCTGTAAAAAAAAAGACAATAACATGCTGTTAATTAAAACAAAATAAAAAAAGAATGTGTTTGAGGACACGAATGCCCCAGCTCAAGCTTTGCAATTTTCCAAGTTAAAAAGGGGCATAACTCTAAACAGTAAATGACTCACTACCCAAATTCAAACTCTGTCTGTGTGTTGTGGCTTTTAGCATTTAGTATGAGTGTCGTAAAATTTGGGGGAGGCAAACTTAAGTTGGAGTGCAAAAACGAAAAAGATTGCAATTTTCCAAGTTATAATGGGGCATAACTCTAGAACGGGAAGTGATTCACTACCCAAATTCAAACCCTTGTCTGCAAATTTTGGTTCTTAGCATTGTGTATGAGTTTCTTAAAATTTGCATGAGGCAAACTTGATAGGTTGCGGAAATGAAAATTTGACAGACGGAAAGAAGGACGATCTCATAGGTAACACTTAATGCCCACGTCCAACATTGACTACGGTGGGGCATAACAAATTATTCATTGGCATTTAGTTAAAAATGAAGTAACTGAAAATAAACACAATTCTGAGATTTCTGCTTTTTTCATGATTATCTTGTGTGTGAAAAAAGAACAGGCTTAAACAAATAAGTTATGATATTACAAAGGATAATATTTCTTTTCCAAAGGAAGTCCTATAACTAGTTGAAATTTAATTAAAAAAAAGGGAGCTTACTTGAGTCAATTTTAGAATACTTATTTAATTTATGGAGAACAGTTATTTATATGCAATCGAAAAAGATGTTGTTTTTTTTTAAATAAAAAGCTTTAGAGAAAGAGAATTGAATAAGTTGATTGAACAAACAAATCTAATTTCTACCAAATCTAAAATTCTGTACAAATTTCATTCAAAAATTGTCAAAGTATACTCTAGTTATTTCATGTGTAGAAAGTAAATTTTACCAATGAGACTAAACACTAGTGCACCTATTGCTACTGGTTGCTTATATATAATTGAGAGTAAATAGAATTGGATATTTAGCAGTGATTTCCACTTGTAATCATTAAATTGGTAGTTTGCTAACATTTCCAACAGACACAATGAATGTTTTTACATTTCAATATTACATACTAGAGCTCTTCTATTCCTTTTCCAGCTTTCTGCCCTCCTCTTAGAATCCATGGGGTTCCCAGCTGAAATTAGAAAAAATTATTAAAAATTATAAACAAAAAATAATATCTCTGCCATTACCTTTAAAATAATAATTGTATGTAAATTCTTCTAGTTGGTTTATCTGCCTACAAAATTTTAACCAAACTATAGATATAGGATATCTAACAAAAAGTCTAAGAACCACTGTATATTCCTTGTACACTCTTAATGTACCTCCCAAGCGCCAAATAAGGGTCCAAAATATTTCCCAGCATAAATTCCTCTAAATTAATTTGATTCTCATATAACCAGAGGATTAGATCAGCATGACAACTTTTTCAAAGACATCAAATGAAAATTTCAAATCCATGAATTTAATTAATTTGAAAATTTGGGTTTGATATTTTATACCCTGAAGCAAAGGTGTCCTTCGCTGTATTTATTTGTGCCATATTTTTTGGCTTTCAAACTTGTATGGCATTTCAAATTTTTGAATTTAGGAATACTTCATTGAGGTTAATTTAAAAGTGCTTTCTATGCAGCAAGATACCGTTAATTATCATAACTTTTGTATCTGTTTTTAGCTTAATCTGAATCAAAATATGGATTATCATTTCAGAAAATTAATTGGCTTGAGTTTTATTAATACAACTGGTTCAAAATACTATGATGATCTTTTTTTTTTAAATTCTAATGTCCTGTTTCAGTGATATATGACCCACACCTTTTTTAAATCATATCTGGATATCTATTTGTGGTGTACTTGTGTTGTTGGCTCGTTGATAAAATCTATATAAGAGCTAGATGCTGTACAAGCAAGGATACAAACTTACAGAAATCACTAGATTTGGCATTTGAGAGATCCTTATAATATTCTGTTCTATGGGATTTTTTCAAGCCTGTACATAAACCAAAGTCAGATAATTTGATATGTCCCTGAAAAATACAAAATCATTAAAAGTTCTGAACTTTACTAAACTTTTCACAAAACAAACACATACTGATTCATATTCGTCTTTAAAAAAAAAAAAAGAAAAAGATTTAGACCGTTTATTTACAGGATTTTTTTATTTCACACTTTCTATGAAGAACGTTGGATGTGAGATGCTTCCAACAAGTATTTGTGTAAGCAGACCACAAATAAATATTCTAGACCTATATCAATTTCATTTGTATAATTACTGACTTAATTACTGAACAAGTTAAATAAATCTGACTCTTTATTTAAGAAAATGGCCTAACAAATTTGAATCATCATTTAGTGTTTCAATTTTTAAACCACTTTCGCATTTGTGCATTTCCCCGCACATTTCCAATGTCACCATGCTTATGTTATGTCACAGTAAGAGTCAATTTTAAATGATGTCATTTATGCCACTTTCCCCGGATCAACAGGTGTAACTTATTCATAAAAAGCTTATGACATGGGAGTATGATTGGAACGGCCCATTCAAACCATGACATTGCTGATGAGGTGGCATACAATATATTTGTATTTTACCATGGTTTGTACACTCAAAGCGTTTGAAGAGCGTCATATTAAAATATCAATTATATCATTGGAATACACAAACTTCATACCTGTCTTTAGTTTTCTATGTTGTGTTTTGTGTAAAGTTGTTGGTCTTTTGGTCATTTTTTCATTTTTCGGCATGGCATTGTCAGCTTATTTTCAACTTATGAGTATGAATATCCCTTTGGTATCTTTCGCCTCTCTTTTATCGAATATTTTAAGACTGCTTGCCGCAATTTTTTTTTATTTCGAAATTTTTCATTTCTTGATTTCTATGTTTTCCATTGTAAAAACACCAACCCCTAACTGTTTGTTTTTTAACACCAAGTACTTACTCTAGCATCTAACAATAAATTATCAGGTTTAATATCCCTATGTATAAAGCCTAGTTTATGAATGGAATCTATAGCCACAATTGTCTCTGCCACATAAAATTGTGTTTGCTCATCCGTTAAAGTGTCTTTCTTCATCAACAATGTCATCATGTCACCACCAGGTAAAAATTCCATTATGAGGTATAAATTTTGTTGGTCTTGGAAAGAATAAAACATTTTCACAACCCAGGTATGATCAGCTTCTACTAAAATATCACGTTCTGCTCGTACATGAGCGATCTGAAATAAAACAAATTGATAAGTATATATTTACCAAAAAATTATATTGCTGGGAATGAAAAAATTGAAAATTAAATGTAATAACAGATAGTTTTTGTATTGATTTTTTCCATTGTTCTTATATCTGAGCATTTAGTTTCTTTTGTTTTATCTTGATGCAGTATATTATAGAGTTCAAGTGTTTACATGTAAAATTTGTAGTAATAAACTTTCATGTAAATCAGGAGTCGGTTTCACAAAAAAACTTACGACTTTGATTGATCGTAAGTATACTGAATTGTTCATGACTTACGATCAATCTTAGTAGTAAGTTTTTTTGTGAAACAGACTACAGACATTTAACTGAAAGTGTGAAAGCAAGTTTTTTAAGGGTCATTTGAAAGAGTGTAACGACAGACAAAGCTCAATGACTAGTATATTACATAAAAGGTGCACACAAAACATCATTTAGGTGAAAAAAAATCTAGATGGCATGAAGTTCTGTTCAACAATACCTGAGAAAAAGTGTGACAAAAAATATTTGTCGAACAGAAGGAAAAGATGAATGCAATCTAGTCCCTACTAATAGATTAAGGGAATAACAATTCTAGTTGTAAAACAGTTATATACTAACTATGGGATTATTTGTGCTATTCAAGTTTTGAATTTCAAATATTTATTACTCTACAAAGGACTTTTTTTCTTATATATTTATAACTTTAAAACATTTCTGAGTAATAAACTTTATGGTATACCTAGAAAAGGCCACATTAAAAATGAAAATGTAGGTCAAAGATAACACATAGTTAAGAAATGTATTGTTATTTAAAGTGGAGTGTCATATAAAACAATAATGCACAGGTTGTTGTAATAAGCATACCCAACTCTTAATTCATAGTATTGTAAAACAGGCAGTAAGCGAAAATGTCATTGCTATAATTTATTATTCATGTCTCCATCAGAAAAAAAATGCAAGGAAATTGCATCAAATTTAGATTAATTTTAAACTTTTGCTATAAAATGATAACAGCTAATACTACATTGTATAACCTTGATGCATCTTTGGACTTTGGAAAATGATGTCTAGACAAATTTTCATAAATCCAAAACTCATTGACTCGTCTAAGTTAGAATCATGAACATGTGTCCATTGGACACAATTCCACACTCATACTATCATATTCCCATGTTTAGTGACTGTGAAATTGAGGAAAAAAACGTAATTTTAGCATTAAATTTAAATAGCTCACTTCACAATGAACATTTGTACTAAGTGCGACCACAACTTCATATTAATCTACCTTAACCAAAAACATAAACCTGAGACTATACTGGTTTCACACTGTAACATTCCTATGATTAGCAAACTGGGAATTTGTGGTCAAAACCTAATCTTGTGTATAATATAAATAAATGAGGAATGTGTCCATGGGACACAGATGATGCCCCTGCTTGCATATCATATTAAGTTATAAAGGGACATAACTGAAGAACAGTAAAAGTGACGCTACCAAAATTTGTACTTGATCTGAGTTTTGTAGTAATTAAAGAACCTTAGTGAGCGCGCTCACATACCCCACGTCCCCACATTGTCATTGGAGACATAAAATAAGTGTAAGAAAAAAAAATTGTATCAGAAAATAAAATTGAATCATAATTTCCTGTCGATATGCACATCTACGTAGTAAGTCCTTATTATCTGAAAAGGTTTCATGAAATTCTGTCGTGTGGTTTGAGAGGAGTTGCGATGACAAAAGGTTGCAGTAGTATATTGGGTAAATAAGTTCAAAGGGGTGTAACTCCTGGAAAAAAAATTGAATCGTAATTTCCTGTCAATATGCACATCTACGTAGTATGTCCTTATTATCTGAAAAGGTTTCATGAAATTCTGTTGTGTGGTTTGACAGGAGTTGCGATGACAAAAGGTTGCAGTAGTACATTAAAGTAAATAAGTTCAAAGGGGCGAAACTCCTAGAAAAAAAATTGAATCGTAATTTCCTGTCGATATGCACAACTACATAGTATGTCCTTATTATCTAAAAAGGTTTCGTGAAATTCATTTGTAAAGGGGCATAACTCTAGAACGGTTAAACCACCAAAATTCAAACTTGATCTGTATTTTGTGGTAATAAGCATTGTGTATAAGTTTCATTACATTTGTTTGAGGCAAACTAAAGTTAGAGAACGGAAACGAAAAATTCAGCAATTTTTTTAATTTGTAAAGGAGCATAACTCTAGAACGGTTAAAGTGACACCACCAAAATTCAAACTTGATCTGTATTTTGTGGTAATAAGCATTGTGTATAAGTTTCATAACATTTGGTTGAGGCAAACCTAAGTTAGAGAACGGAAAGGAAAAATTCAGCAATTTTTCCATTTGTAAAGGGGCATAACTCTAGAATGTTTAAAGTGATGCCACCAAAATTCAAACTTGATCTGTATTTTTTCATAATAAGCATTGTGTATAAGTTTCATAACATTTCGTTGAGGCAAACTAAAGTTAGAGAACGGAAACCAACTATGGGACGTACATACGTACGGACGTACAAGGGTAAAACTTAATGCCCCCTCTGATACGGCGGGGGCATAAAAATTCATTTCATAATGAAAATGCGATTATTAGTTTCACGTTGATGTGACCTGAACTTTCTTGTGAACTACCTTGCCCAAAAATTTTGACCTGATACGGGACAGACAAACAGAATAACTGACAGAATATAGCATGGACACACAGACCAGAAAACATATTGCCCTTCAACTATTGTCGACCAGACATAAAAACAGATAAATCAACATTCCATTCTTTTATACAATACTATTATCATTAAAAACCTAATTCTAGAGACTTTCGAATAAATCATCTTCAGTGTATTGGTCAAACGAGTTATCACCATATGATTATCAATATAGATGTCTTCTTTAAATAAAGGGAAAGTCTCACAAAACAAATTGCATTACTGTATCATAATTTTCTAATTTCAGTTATCTATATAGGAAGTACACCACTAATTCAAGGCCCCATTAATATTGCTTTCTATGTTAAATTCCTCAATTTCAGGCACAGCTCTTTTGTCTTAAGTTCAAATAAAGTGACGATCATTGCATGTCAACGCAACACCTTATGGTGTATTGTACTGAAAAAATCAACATACCTTTAATTGCATGTAAGAGAGAACTGGTTCCCTGAACCCCGGATGTACCAAAACAGGTACTTCAGATCTGACAACCTGGCAAAATGTACCCTCCTTTTTAAATTACTTGCAATTTTTTTATTATTCAAAATTATAAGTCAAAAAGTTATCTACAATGATCACCAGTCATTCAGCTTTCATTTGATACCAAAATTACCAAAATATTCTACATATTTTGAAAGTTACACCCATGCGTAGGAACTATTTTGTGTTAAATATGTACTACTTTCTGGTATGTGCTTTCTGACCAGGCCCGAATTGGTGGTGTTACACCTATACTGATCATTGGCGATCCAAGATGGCAGATTAGGCCCATGCTCACTTACGGTTCAATCAGTTCTTAATCAATATCATGTCATTAAGTTGATTTTACTGAAAAATATCACAGAAATATCATTGTGGAAAATCTGGACAAAGTGTACAGATATAAGGATCAAAAAGGTTAAATGGGCATGTTCTGGCTTAATCTGGGATCAGAAATTATTAATAGTATTCCAATAACTTGAACAAACTCTAATATACTTTAAAAGATCCAGAGTTATAGTCGTACCTGATCTTTTTCCACCATGTCAGCTTTTCTTAAAATTTTCATTGCATATACATGACCTGTATCTTTCTTCTGTACTAATCGTACCTAAAATTACAATGACACAAAAATTAGTTTAAACAAACTGTCAAAAATAAGTGTACATAAACAATGGTCATCGTTTAATTATCTTATTTTTGATTTTAATTAAATATAATACACAGAAGTTAATAACACAATTCTAATGATACATGATTAATGGCAATTTGTGGTATAAATATCACCTTTATGGTCATAAATAGTCACAACTTCTTCTCATGAAGATAAGTATTTTAAACATCACAATATCCAAATATTCCAAAAAACAAATTAAAAGTTTTTGTTTTTTTAATTTTTTTATGAATATTTTTCACAATCCGCACATTAAAAATTAAAAAAATAAATATAATCATAATCTTTTTGTCAACAACTTGCAGGTCATATTCCAGGAAATTTGTGATGATTTAGGTCAATTTGTTCTATACCTATCACCTATTTAATGTAGTAAATTGTACTAAATAAACTCTCATGCAAGCATAATATATCCGTCTATTAACCAATTGTAAAATAATCACTGTTTAAAGGGAGCAATTTACCTAAATTAATCCTGACATAATGTAAACATCTAACTTGAATGGGTTGTTATTTTGATACCATGCATGTAAATACATACATACTTCTGGTGTTTGTACACTTTTAGTAAGCTGAACAATAGTAAACTTATTCTATCCATGATGGTCTGTCTGTGGGCTGTGGTTTTAACACCATGTTTAACAATTAAAATGCCTTATTACTAGATATAAACCCCATCTTTTCAAAATTCATGACTACCATTCCTTCAGTCAATACCTAATCCTTCAAAATTCATGACCTCCATCCTTTCAGTCAATACCTAATCCTTCAAAATTCATGACCACAATACTTTCAGTCAACCCCTAAACCTTCAAAATTCATGACCACCAATCTTTCAGTCAATACCTAGATTCCTTCAAAATTTATGACCACAATCCTTTCAGTCAACCCCTAAACCTTCAAAATTCATGACCATCATCCTTTCAGTCAACCCCTAAACCTTCAAAATTCATGACCACCATCCTTTCAGTCAAACTCTAAATCTTCAAAATGCATGACCATCATCCTTTCAGTAACCCCTATTCCTTCAAAATTCATGACCTCCATCCTTTCAGTCAATACCTAATCCTTCAAAATTCATGACCACAATCCTTTCAGTCAACCCTTATCCTTCACAATTCATGACCATCATCCTTTCAGTCAACCCCTAAACCTTCAAAATTCATGACCATCATCCTTTCGGTCAACCCCTAAACCTTCAAAATTCATGACCACCATCCTTTCAGTCAACCCCAAAACCTTCAAAATTCATGACCACCATCCTTTCAGTCAACCCCTAATCCTTTAAAATTCATGACCACAATCTTTTCAGTCAACCCCTAAACCTTCAAAACTCATCACCATCATCCTTTCAGTTAACCCCTAAACCTTTAAAATTCGTGACCACAATCTTTTCAGTCAACCCCTAAACCTTCAAAATTCATGACCACCATCCTTTCAGTCAAAACCTAAATCTTCAAAATTCATGACCAGCATCCTTTCAGTCAAACCCTAAACCTTTAAAATTCATGACCACAATCTTTTCAGTCAACCCCTAAACCTTCCAAATTCATGACCATCATCCTTTAAGTCAACCCCTAAACCTTCAAAATTCATGACCATCATCCTTTAAGTCAACCCCTAAACCTTCAAAATTCATCACCATCATCCTTTCAGTTAACCCCTAATCCTTCAAAATTCATGACCATCATCCTTTCAGTTAACCCCTAATCCTTCAAAATTCATGACCACAATCTTTTTAGTCAACACCTTATCTATCAAAAGATTTCTGGGGAATGCTTGAGTAATATTTCTAAAATTTCATGGCTTTCAGTTACATTTGAGGAAACTAAAGTGTTCTGTGTAAAGCTAAAATCTATGGTGAATATCTGACTACTCGACCAGAGGCTGGTAGACAACATTTGGTGAGTAACTGACAACTCAATCACATGCTGGTAGCCAACCTATGGTGAGTAACTGAAATGATAGCAATCATATCGTGAGTAACTGAAATGGTAGCAATCATATGGTGAGTAACTGACAACTCAAACACATGCTTGTAGCCAACTGATGGTGAGTAACTGACAACTAAAATAAACTGTTAACACAGCGATATGTCTCGCCTATTTGTGATTTTGATAATGCAAATGTTGAAATTGAAATAGCAATACTTTAACATGTAAGTTATGCAAATATTCAAAGTCAATGAACCATGACTGAAGGTACAGGGCTAAACAATCTCCATGGAAATGAGATGTGCAAATGCTTATACAACAGCATACCAAATACCATTGACTTATCATAAGTTGTTCCCTTTAAACAAACCTAAACACAAACATTAACTTGTAAACTATGCTAAAGTTTCAAAGTCAATGAACCATAATGAGGGTGGTGGGGTTATATAATCTCCATGGAAATAAAACTTGCAAATGCCAATACATTTGCATACCAAATATCATTGACTTAACATTAGTGGTTCATCTTAAACTGACCTAATCACAAACTAATACATGAAAATTAAGCAAAAGTTTCAAAGTCAATAGACCATGACTGAGGGGTAAGGACCAAATATTCTCAATATAAATGAGACGTGCTAATGCTTATACAACTGCATACCAATTATCATTGACCTACCAGTAATGGTTCCCCTTAAACTGACCTAATCACAAACTAATACATGAAAACTAAGCAAAAGTTTTAAAGTCAATAGAACATGACTGAGGGGACAGGGCCAAATAATCTCCATGGAAATGAGGTATGCCAATGCTTATACAACTGCATACCAAATATCATTGACCTACCAGTAGTGGTTCCCCATTAACTGACCTAATCACAAACTGATACATGTAAACTAAGCAAAGTTTTAAAGTCAATAGACCATGACTGAGGGGGCAGGGCCAAATAATCTCCATGGTAATGAGATGTGCCAATGCTAATACAACTGCATACCAAATATCATTGACCTACCACTAGTGGTTCACCATAAACTAGACCTAATCACAAACTAATACATTGTTGATGCCGCCGCCAACGCCGGAAACAGCATACCGATGTCTCGCTTTTTGACTCCGTCAAGGCAAGACAAAAATGCTTGTAGAAAACTGATGGTGAGGTACTGACAACTCAAACACATGCGTGTAGCTTAATGATGGTGAGTTACTGACAACTCAAAAACATGCTTGTAGCTTACTGATGGTGAGTTACTGGAAGCTTAAGACTTGATAGCCTATTGACTTATCTATATCACAACTAATTCCCTTGTAAGATGGTGTTATGTAAGGAAGCAGTCATATTTTGGCAGTAAACCAAATTGAATGACAAATCCCCTTAAGATAGGAATTATAAATTAGGTTGTCGAAATAAAAGGTACAAATGTTCTGAAGAGGAATCCAGATTATTAAACTGAGACATTATTATGAAAGCACTAAATTTAAGTTCTATTTCAAAATCTGGCAACATTTATGGGACACAACTGATTATAAGTTGTATTTGACATTTTATGGTATTGATCTATTGGGAGGGTGCACAGATAATATGTACAATCTTCAATCAATAACCTCACTTTTATGTTAAGTTTACGTTTAACAGGAAGTGGATTACAAATTAAATATTTGAACACTTAAAGTTTTAAACACAATAAATAATATCAACCCTTATTTTTGTTTGCTTTCAATTTTACGCAAAGTGTTTCCACGCTAGTTTTCCATAAATAATTTACAATATTTAAAGTGTAACCTACAAATCTTCACTCACTTGGTTTAAAAAACTGAACTTAAATTGGGTTAAAGCAAGAACACATAGGACTAATTATGAGAAATGTTACAGATTAAACATGGTTCTTCAAAACACTTAATGCAAACTTTGAAGATTTTTTTTTTATCTAAAACATGAAACTAACTGTCATTTCTATATCTAAATAATTATTTTACCTAAATCTTACATAAAAGATCAAAGTCACATCTGTTTTGCCCTTACAATAATTCTACAGTACAGTAAGTTACAATGGATATATTTTCAGTAGACATTCAAGTATTGTTCAGAACAGACATTACTAGTGTCAAAAATAAAACCTCAACTTTATGCCTACATGTTTGTTTGAGACACGTTAAATTTCCAAAATGGTAAAATATGCATGGATTAAATTGATTTTTCATACTTCAATCATTATATAGGGCACTTAATCTATGTGAAATCAAAACTTTAATTAGCATGAAAGGGTCTATAACTTCATTCAGGGTGTGTCATTCTAATAAAAATCGTGACGCAATTAAAATTTTGGGAATAAGAAATCTATATATTCTGGATGAAAATAAATATGAGTAAGGAAATAATTGCATTTTTCAAAATTTGTATAAAAAGATATTTATACTTTTAAACAGACAGGAAGGAGTTAGTGGGATGTCATGAACAGGATCACTACAAAATAGTACTTAAATAGTCTAAAATAGTGTGTAATTTCCTTCAACTATTTCCTCCTACTGTTTCTAATTGTTTTACTTTATTTTATATAATCTTCCTTTTTCTGCCATTCATTTCTACTGAATTTAAATGTAAAAAAAAATGAAGAGATAACGAAACTTTTGGTTAATGAAACAATAAAATAGTTTTGAAATTAGTCTTATTTGGCAAATCTTTTAAATGTATATTTTTACAAAGATGACTAACTTTATTTATATTTCATTAACTATGAAAAACTGAAAATCCCAATAACGTATGCTTTAATCAACTTGATACCTTTTTTGGAAGACATGGTTGGGCATTATAAAACAGTATTACATGTGTAACCATAAAACACAAGGATATTTACTATAATAGTACAACTGAAATCTTAAGTCACTATATCAATGAAAAAAGTCAATCTCCTTACACCAATTAAATTGACGACATTATTCAAACATCCTTGGACTTAAACCAAGGACTTACAATTTTATCAAACATTTTTTGGATCAGGCTAATTTTGATATTTGTGTCATTCAACTCCAATAAGACACAGCTTGAAAGTGTATTGACTAAGATTTGAATAACTTTTTATCATGCAAATTAAAATCATTAAATGATTGAAAATGTTTACAGAATCCTGGTCATAGTAGATATTAATGAATACAGGTAATGAAATATGCTATCCATAGACATCTGTGTAGGGTTCATGTATTATTGATGCAATATTATACTCCATGATGGGGTCAAATTCATGCTGAATCATTGTGTTTTTATAGAAAGCAACAGATTTTATAAACCTCCTGGTACATATAGATTCTACCACTGCATCAAGTGTGCTACGATATTTATCCACTCGAGACAGTTAAATGTTCAAAATTTAACTGTCGAGAGAGGATAAATATCCTATTGCATGAGATTTGGTGGTGGAATCTGTTTCTCTAATGATTTTTAGGCAATATGCAGACAATCTTAATTCTTCTTTTCGAACAATCTGCAAAATGATGTGTTCTTTCTACGTGACGTCATCAGGCATGGTAGCCTTTTTTCATAACGTCACAATAGGAATTTCAGAGGAAAGCAAGAAAATTTGACGTCATAATCGAATTTTGACCAATGAAGAACTGAGATCAAACAAATCACACGGTGATTAAATTAAAATAATCAACAGGTCAGGAAAGGGATAAATTGTGTATTAATTAGAGAAATGTATTTATTGTTAATCTTACACAATGTCACTTAATACAGATGAACCTTCTTCTGACAGTGGATAATGTTTATTTCACATATTTCATATTGTTACAAATACATCTTCTGATGGACAAGTTAATGGTCATATTTAATATATATTTAAAGAGCTCTTCCTTATCTTTAATTGACTCAAAGAATTGTCTTGTAATTTAGCAATGCTGCCTGCAAACTTCTAAAGCATATTTCCTCCATTCCTGCTATCTTTTTTTAATACAATTATTTTATTAAGAACACCAAGTTCAAAAGTTCAAACATTTATATTTGTTTATACTAATACTGTAAATTCAGACTTTTGTGATGCTTTAAATATTGTTTTGGAAAAATGAAAGCTGACATTTTAAATTTTTATGGCTTTTTTGTATGCAGTATTCCCTGAAATTGTAAAACATAATCTCACATTTTGTATATATTGTTTAACAACAGAATACTAAATGCACACACCAATTTCTGAATTTACAGTACTAAAATATCATTGAAAAATAAATTCAGTAGCAACTTGAAACATAATTTCTGAACATATACCGCTATCATGTACAATACTTTTATTTCTTTTCAAAGTATTGTTAATTCATTTTTGTCTCATTTTGGCAAATTTTCACTGATTGTCTGTCCATTGAATAGTTTTTTACAAATGAAAAACATTTTATGCTTAATTTTGAAAAATCATTCTTTGCAATGAAATCTAATTAATAAAGTTATAATAATATGTATACAGGAAACAAAAATTCCATTTTAACATAAAAATTCTGAAAACTACAAGGCATTTTCAAAAAATTCAGCAGTTCTGAGTTAACAATATAAAAATAAGGAGATGTGGTATGATTGCAAATGAAGTGGATGTAGGCAACAGTACTGCCTTAAACAATGAGAACAAGTCTGAATTTCATGAGAATTATGAAGAAATGGGTGTCAAATATATTTTTATACCAATATATAAAGTCTATAATCATAACTCTATTATTTCCCAATATTTCTGATGTACTTCATGGACATGGCTGGTATTGTTCGTTCTAATTTTCAGTACCAGTATTGTAATGCTAATTATGTAACAACCTAACCTACCTCACCAAAAGCACCCCGACCTATAACTTTAAGAGGTTCAAAGTCATCTACTCCAAGCCGAGATCTTTTAAGACGTAAAAATTCTGTTTCTTTTACTGCATGCTGTTGTCTTAAGTCTTGTTTCTGTAAAGATGTTGACATAATGTATATATTTATACAACTTCTTTTTCTGAAAATGAGCATAAATTACTTCAAGCCAAATGACTTACTCAATTACATGATTTTCTATTTTCCCTCTTAAGTATGACAATTTCAAGGTACATGTCATGTGAAGTCCTTTTAGGCAAAATGTTGAAACTGCACTCCAGAATTTTGTAAAACAGCATGTATTAATGAGCCTTAATTTCAGCAGCAAAGGTTTAGATATCGAAGTATTTTACATGTTCGTGCAATATTTGTCATTTAATATTATATAACAATCAACTAATCAATGAAACACTCTCAATCCTTATGTCAAAACCACGGCTGCCAACTAGACACACCTTAACATGCTTTATTCATGATTTGTTTTACATGGCACTCATTTCACATGGCTAAAACACACCGCAACATATGATCAGGTATGTTTTGTAATTGGGAACAATTTGAATTTCTGCCATACCATCATTTTTAAGATTCCCAAGCATTTTACCCTTAATTTTTAAAATCTAAAAGTCATCAATAGGTTTGGAACATTGATAATCGGCAGTAAGACTATTTGTAATTGCAAAGTTATCAAAATGTTAAGTGTTACTAGTTACTACCAAGTAATTCAATGATAATCTAAAATCAGCTAATCTTGCTACTGTTGAGAATACTCTGAGTCTAATGTAGTTTAATATGTCACTGGTCATGTACATGTATGGCCATGAAAGTGCTTTATGCTATTGCACAATTTTTGAATTCATCAAGGTTTTGATAACAGTCTAAATTTATTCTAATTTATAAAGGGATCTTGCAATAAATGAAAGTGGAAATTCATGCCACAAGGTAGGTTTAAGTTATTCCATCAGAAAGATGCCTTCATACAATTATGGCCCATAGAAAAGGTGCATATCCAAAATTGTCAACCCGTAAAGGTTATTTCCCTAAGGGTACAGCACGAAGTGCAGTTAATTTTTATAGTTAGATTTAGATGTGGATGTAAGCAGCTAAAGGTTCCTAAATTGGGACAGGCACTGTATATCATATTTGTATTTCGTTCATTGTTTTTTCATAAATCAGGCCGTTAGTTTTTTCATTTGAATTGTCATTTCAGGGCATTTTATAGCTGACTATGTGGTATGGGTTTTGCTCAATGTTGAAGGCCTTATGGTGACCTATAGTTGTTAACGTCTATGTCATTTGGTCTCTGGTTTAGAGTTGTCTCATTCACAATTATACCACATCTTCTTATTTTTATATGGAGGGTTAAACATGTTTGTGATTGCTCAAGTTTATTTGAGAAGCAACTTTTTCTCACATTGCTTAAATTGGTAATATTGATATAAATTGTATCTGGGGAAGGTGACAACTTAAAATCATTTTCACGAAAGAAGGTTAATTAATTAAAATGTAAATGTCCTCGACATCTCTGACAAATCTTTATCATGAACATCAACTTCCTTTGTTTAACAGTATTAATTAACATGCATTTACATAAATGTAATTATGACTTAAAAGCATATACATAAAACTTTTCATTACTGCTTGTTTTTATATAATGACCTTTACTTCTGAGGATGTCACATTAATTCAAACACAAGTATGTCATGAATTTTACTATTATAAACAAATACAAACTATTTCTTAAACATCTGTGACCACTATCATGAATCTTGTTTGAATCTTACATTATCAAAATATGATGTTAAAATATCATCTTCTTTTCCTGACAATGATGAAAACAAATTAGCATTTACAATATCCACTATGCATATATTTACCTGTTCTTCTGTCAGGCCATCTTTGTCCATGGAATGTTCTAAAATTCTGTATCTATAAAGAAAAAAAAAAGAATTTTTTATTTTTTCTATTTTTAAGAATGATTTTTTCTGTATTTTTGTTTTTGTCTATCTTTAATAAAAGAGACACAGATATCAGAGATAATGCTTTAAAGTGAACTATTGTTTGTTGTTTCCTACAATTAGAACAACCAAAAAGATCATTTAGATCCATTGTTCTACATTCAAAACAGGTCTCAGGTGGATAGCTGTGTCATTGGCAATCATCTTTTTATTCTAAGGTCTAAATCACATAGCTTTATTACTTACTATACAATGATCCAGAAAATTTTCGAGCACAACATAATGTAATTGCAGTCAAAGCAAAATTATCTAACAAAAGTTTCTTCTCTTCTTAGTGCAAGAATCAATCCAAAACAAGTATTTTATTAAACTCATTTTATTCATAAGTTATAAAAAAATTTCCAAACTGGGACCAGGGTTTAACCCATTTTTTTTAAGGTTGAAAATGTGTAGAGCATAATTATATAAACAGATAGAATGAAAATAAAACAAGTTGAACTGTGAGTTAATGCTCACAAATGATACCTCTGCTATAAGTATACAGTTAACAGGAAGTTGATGAGCAAATAATGTACAGATGCTGATGCAATCACATAATATATAATATGCTCATATGTTGCTCGATTTCAAATTTGAGAAAGCCCTGATTTATGGTTCCTGAGAAAGATTTCATACATGGCCATTATGTGAAAGAATATATAGTATTTGGTAAACAAGGAGTTGATATCTAATTATTTGAAATTCTGACTGTTGTTCCACAGAAAAATGTGACTATAATTCGATGTTTCAGAATCTAATGCATTCTGGGTAATATTTTTTAAAGTGTACACCAAAGCGTCCTGATTGGTTAAAAATGTCCTAAACAATTTAAATTCAACCAATGACGTGACGTTATTTTTGGGTACAAACAATAAAATGATCCCTAGTCCTGTAGATTCTGAAACGGTGAGTGTCATGTGACAGGCAAGTGGTTAATCAGTACATCCTTTGTAAATACTCAAGAAAGACTTTCCTTGATCTGAGTGGCTACTGATAAACAGACTTAACTTACATTTTACTACACTTTTAAAATACATAAACATTTATGAATCATATACATATGTGATATCATCACATCATTATATTGAAGATGTCATATCTATTTATATTCCTTGAGAACCTTATCATTTAAAAATTCTCATAATTAATTTATCTTGTGATTTTATTTGAAATTCTCCATCACTTGAATCAATTTTTCATCAGGGGAGATCATTTCTTCTTGAGGGGATATTCCATGGCTGAAAACCAAACCTGGGGAAAATTTTTCTATACAGGGGAGGACAATTCTTCATGAAGGGATATTCCATTGCTGAAAATCAAACCTGGGGTCAATTTTCCATACAGGGAAGGACAATTCTTCATGAGGGGATATTCCATGGCTGAAAATGAACCTGGGGTCAATTTTCCATGGGGTTCAAAAACTTAAATTTAAATATGCCACCTGGTATTTTTAAAATTTTGTACGCCAGACGCACATTTAGTCTACAGGACTCTTCAGTGACGCTCAAATAAGAAAAGTTAAAAAGTCCAAATAAAGTACAAAGTTAAATACCTAGCAGACCCAAATTTCCGAAAGGTTTGACTAAATACAGCAAAGGTTATCTATTCCTTGGGAAGAAAATCCTTAGAATTTGAAAAATTCCCAAGAAAATATTTCGAATAGCAGCAATCATATTTTGACTAGTAAACATAATATGGTACATATTTTCTGAATCTTTGTTAGTCCGAGATTACTCTGAGGTCCAACGGCTGTTTTGTCCCACGGCCCCAGCTTGTCTGGCAAAACAGCCGTTGGACATCAGAGTAATCTCAGACTAAATCTTTGTCAGAATAAAAATCTGTCCTCTCAAAATGTAGATGTCCAATTAAATTGTTGAACAATACTGCATGACAACAACTAATATTGTTTGATCAGTATAACTATTTACAATGCAATCATATTATTCTTTCTGACCTTCAATTAGTTATTTAAAACATACACCCTAATGATAATTTGATTACTTTAATTAGGACAGAAAATAACAACTGGTAAGCCACAAAAATGTCTCTGTTGTGTTGTAAAAATCTATACAGCCATCAAAGCAAGTTCAACAATTGAGAATTTACTGGCAATTCTCACAACAGATATAACATTCTGTCATGTTTACAAGTCAAACATTGTGTAATAATAGATAACTTCATAAAGACAGAGATGTAAACAAGAATATCTTAATCATACACTGTAAAACCCTTGTAAAAAGATGTACACAACATTTTCCCGTACAAAATTACCATGATTTTTTAACAAAGCAATAAAATAAACTGCTGACACAGAGATATGTCTTGCATGTATGCAGCTTTGGTGGTAAAATCAATATGGTTACCCTTTTACATGTAAACTATGTTAATGAACCATAACTGAGGTCAATACGACAAATTATCCCCATGATAATGAGCCATTTCAATGGTAATACAACTACAAACATCATCGACTTAACGTGAGTGGTGACCTTATTAAAGTTTCAAGGTTGATAGACCATGACTGAGAAGACAAGCCAAATAATTTCCATGGTTGATTGATTGTTGGTTGCTTAACGTCCAGTGGCAAATATTTCATGCATATTCAGGACGAGAACAAATTAACAATAAATACAATAGGAAGGTTCTGTAATAGAGGCATCTGGGGTAGAGGTCGGGGAAATTTAGACTGCCACGGGAAATGAGGGTATATTGGATAGGGACAGAAATTTAGCTTTGCAACAGATCACCTACGGACCCCTCAAAGAGTTGTTGCAAAGGTTCTTAACGTGCAAAGAGCGTGGCACTCTCTTTACACGAGACATCGGATTTAACGTCCCCATTCTGACCAGACGTGGCTGAAAATTTGTACATCCCGCACAGCCAAACGGATGCCCCACTTTGACGAGGGTTTTACCGCCGGTCGGAGGAAGACCAATGGTGACCATACTTCTATTCAACAGTCACCCTTGGGGGTTAATTTCCATGAAAATGAGATTGATTGATTGTTGTTGCTTAATGTTCCGTTGGCAATTTTTGTGCCAAAGCTAATACAATTGCATACCAAATATCATACACTTAGCATTACAGGTGCTTTTTCCTCATACTGACCTAAAATAAATGGAGAAAGTGTCCATGGGACACAGATGATGACCCCGCTTGCATATAACATAATGAAAGGGCATAACTCGAGAACAGTAAAAGTGACGCCTGGCGGCCACCCAAATTCGAACTCAATCTGTGTTTTGTGGTAATAAGCATTGTGTATAGGTTTCATAACATTTGGTTACTCAAGGCAAACTAAAGTTAGAGAATGGAAACCAATTCTGAGAAGTTTGTACAGACTGACTGACAGACAAGGGTAACTAACACTTAATGCTCCCTCCATTTTGTCAAGGTGAGACACAATTTAGCCTACCAAATGCATCTATCACCACATTTTTACTTGACCTCATAAACAACAATAAAAGTGGCACTAATTGAACAGGAAGTCAGCTATCAGGATTTGTTGGTCACATATTTTTTTCTCATATTTAGACTGTTAATCAAATAAAGTTTTGTCAAATAAATGTGGAAAGTGTCCACATGTGGACACAGATGATGCCCCCGCTTGCATATCATATAGTTATAAAGGGACATAACTGAAGAAAGGTAAAAGTGAAGCTACCAAAATTTGAACTTGATCTGAGTTTTGTGGTAATCAGCATTGTGTGTAAGTCTCACAACATTTGGTTGAGGCTAACTTAAGTAGAGAACAGAAACTAAAAATTCAGCAATTTTTCTATTTGTAAACACACATAACTCTAGAACGCTTGTGTATAAGTTTAATAACATTTGGTTGAGACAAACTAAAGTTAGAGAACGGAAACGAAAAATTTAGCAATTTTTATGTTTATAAAGGGACATAACTCAAGAATGGTAAAAGTGTCGCCACCAAATTTCATACTTAATCTGTATTATGTAGTAATAAGCATTGTGTATAAGTTTCATAACATTTGGTTGAGGCAAACTAAAGTTAGAAAACGGAAACAAAAAATTTGTTCTTGATCTTAGTTTTGTGGTAATGAATATTGTGTATAGGTTTCATAATGTTTGGTTGGGGCAAACTTAAGTTACAGAATGGAAAGTTCGAAACTAAAAATTTTGCAATCTTTTGATTTATAAAGGTGCATAACTCAATAATGGTTAAAGTGACACTACCCAAATTCAACTTGATCTGTGTTTTATCAGTGGAAGTCAAATTTAAATATTGCATTGTATAAAGCATTGATTGTAGTTGATTCAACTATAATCATGGACAAAAGAAGATAACTTCAATTTTAAAAATTACTTGATATTTAGAAGAAAATAAAAAATTTGCGTTTTCCATTTATTAAGGGGCATAAGTCTAGAACAGTTAAAGTGACGCCACCAAAATTCAAACTTGATCTGTGTTTTGTGGTAATAAGCATTGTGTATAAGTTTAATAACATTTGGTTGAGGCAAACTTAAGTTAGATAAGAAACTAAAAATTTTGCAATTTTTCCATTTATAAAGGGGCATAACTCTAGAACGGTTAAAGTGATGCCACCAAAATTCAAACTTGATATGTGTTTTGTGGTAATAAGCATTGTGTATAAGTTTCATAACATTTGGTTGAGGCAAACTCAAGTTAGAGAACGGAAACCAATTTTGGGACGTACATACAGACGGACAAGGGTAAAACTTAATGCCCCCACCGCTACGGGCCTGAATTCCTAACATGATAAAACCTCTTCACAAATCCTGGATTTTGATTGGTGCCCTCTAGAAGAGGTGACCAATCAGCAATCAGCTCAATTTTATCGAGATAAGTTAATCCTGAGGTAATTCAAAATAAATGATTGAAGGTTTTCATTGTCAATGCATTCAGGTGTTAATGAAGTCATCGTAGGTCAGCGGAATATAACGACTGAA